TCTTGCTCTTGTGAGATTTATGTAGAGATTCAATAAAGTAATTGTTATAATTAAAGCTTACATTTAGTTATATTTTGTTTCCACATTTTGTCTTTAAATTTAATGATTTGAAAAAGTAATGCATTTATATTCAAATTTACAAAGGAAAAACCCAGGTCATGTTTGGTGCAAATTATATCCTCCAACAAGCAATATGACGTAATGGATGTATTAGATAAATTCAGAGATGATTTGAACAGGAAACGTACTGAAGGCTCTGAAAATGTAGCACAAGGTGCATTCTTGGTTATTATAATGTTTTTGTTATCATTATCAGGACTTAAGAACAGGAGTTCGCCATTCAACCCCTCAAGTCATTCAGTGAGTTCATGGCTGATCTCTATCTTGCCTCCATCCGGTCATGTCACTATATACTATTACCTTTCCTAGAAAAATGTATTGGTCTTCAATTTAGTTGTTTGAGTGCAGGATTTCTTTGCTGAAAAGAAACGTTTTGTCAAAGCTTTTAGTCTGGCGCTGATCAGGACATTTCACAAAAATACCAATTTGAAGGGAAAAGTCAAATTTTTACTGCATGAGCAGAGTGCTGATTGGCAAATTAGAGCCAACATAAAAATGTAGTTGAATTTTAAGTCTAAATTATGTTCAGAGTAACTCCCATTTCCTTGATCTATTGTTGTAACCTAAATAGTAGCATCTTTATAAGACAGCCATGCTTTTATGTTGAAGTAATCACAGTTGCAAACTTCAGCTAGTTGCATGCATTCAGAAGGCTATAAAATTAGGCAGAAGATTGGAAATAGCAATGCTATGAAGCTCTAAATTTTTTCCTTTACTAATTTACTGGGAAATTGATGACTGGACATGAGTATAGTCTGTGATTTTATACAGTCTTTTAAGATACTTTACAGTTACTTAAAATTGGGTTATCGCTAGTTTGTGGATGATTAAAATGCATAGGTTTTGTGTGAAATATTTTTAGCTGAGTTAATCAAATTACACAAGGTTGCCATTCTTGCATCAAGAATTCTTTCAAGTATAGAAGAAATCACCGTTGTTCTAAAATACTGTCTAATCTGGCATGTGGCAAAAATTACATATGGTGATACTCAAATTAATTTGGGCATACTTCTCAAAACTTAATGCAATTAACACTGACTAACCAAACAGAAATTTATTCTTTTGTACCATGGATGAGTAAAATGCAACAAAAATTGAAATAATAAATAAGAACTTTATAACCAAACTTTGCATGACCAAGGAAACATTAATAGCAAGGGTTTGTGTTTGTTTGTGTGCAAAGGGGTGCAAGAGAAAAGAAACTTTTAAGCTGAGTAGCTTTTTGTGAACATGAAAGCCCTTTTAAACTTTACAGAGTGTAGCTTTCCTCACTAAATGTGGCTGAAATATCTACAGCTTGTATGAGAATGCAAGCAAATGACCATTGGCCTGTATCCAGAAATAAAAAATCAAGCAGGTATGGATGTATTGGTGGAATTTTGGTGCAAACCACTTGCTTGAAAAACCTCTGTCTCTCCATGAAAAGTCAGGTCAGTGACAGTATCCCATGTAGAGACAGGCAAATACATCAACCTGATCCAAACTATTGGTTCCCTGACTAAAGTGAGGCTTAAAATTCAAGATTAACTGACATCAATCAATCGAACCTATTACAGGCAATGACAGGTTAATAAATGGTGCAAGCATGCCAGTAAAAAACACTGAAAATTGACTTTTCTGCAAGACACAAAGCAGCCATGTAGCCCCAAATCTGAGCTGTACAATGAAGTGCTAAACATTACCCTCTGGTCAATTCCAGTGAATGAAAACACTGAAAATATAGAGTCTGAGTTGCAGCTCACTTTCTTTTAAAACAAAATAAAGTGAAAAATTTCTAACAGGTCAGGAATGACTGACACAGTGATCCTGGGTTTCCAAATTTCCTCACCTTGTGAGAGATGGTGCTTTTATTGGATGAGGAAAAGAGAATGTTGACTGTCAGATTTGATAGCATAAAATGAATTAAGATATTTAAGACCAGGAAGACAATGGTACCAGAAAAAATTTGCATAGAAATTTTTAGGGCAACAAAATGACTTAAAAACTTCCAGTTCAAGGAAAGTAATTGGAAATAAGTACTCAACAGTTATGGGAGATTTTCTGTTGCCGGGAAGTGCAAGAGGAAAAGAAAAATGTGTCCTAAAGGGTGAGTGTAGGTTAAAAAATACAAGTGTGATAACAGGCCTTGAGATCAGCATGTCTGAGTATAGGAATCCTCTTCAAGTTCAATGTAATGGATGAATTATTCACAAACCAATTTGATCAAGGTACAGGTCAAGTATATTTGGGGTAGTAATCAAGAACATACGTACAATATGTTATGAGTAATTTAATTATAATTAATGTGGACTTGGTGTCTGAAACAGTTAGGAAGCAAGAGTGAAACATCTGATTCCATAAATACATGGATTGAGGGAGAGTAAAACTGCAGTTTCGAGGAGAAAGTGTCAAATTTTTTTTTTGGGGAAACTGCTAATGCTCATCTGGTGACTGTAACAATGTATTAGCACCCAAAGATTGAGTTCAGTACCAACTCTGGCAAATAGTTGATATTTAATAAATTTAATTGTTTCAAACTTCATGCTGGCTTTAGCTGAGGTAACACTTGAGGCTGCCAAGTCAGCAGATTGTTGGCTTGAGTCCTGTGCCAGAGGTTTAAGCATAAAATCTAAGCTGACACCACTGATGTGAGGAAGTTCTCCAGTGTTGAATGTGCTGTCTTGGAAGAGTTAGTCCTAGCTAGCCCTTGGGATAAACACCTCAATGGAGATTGTATAGCAAATATCACATTGATATTTGTAAATCCCAACTGCACGTTTGGCTGCTGCATTTCCTGCATTATAATGCGAAGTACATTTTAAGAAAAGTAGTTAATTGACTTTAAATGCTTTGTGGCACCCTGATATCTTGAAAGGCACCATACAAATGCAACTTTTAATTTTTTTTTCATTTCAGAGCTATTACATTTAATTTTTACAGCAATGTTAGATATTTTTAAGTATCGCATTATGGTTTTGCTATTGAATGACTTTAATGCATCTCCTTTAGTTCCTTCAAGCAAGTTTTTAACATCATTTTGAAAATATTGGGGTTATGATGAACTTTTGGTGTCTTGCAATTCCAAAAGATATCTGTGATTTTAATGTGTGTTCAGTTTTGAGTATTTTAATGCAATGAAGGCTAGTAAGTAATATATTGGTTCAATATGTATGTTGCCAGAATCTTGCATTGCGCTAGTCCACCAAAAGACTTTTCTTTACAATTATCAATTTATTCCCTTTTCTTTTGCTTGTGGGCAGCTAGTTTTAATCGATTCTATTCTAAGCAGGAAATCTTGCAATTCTCTGCTTGAATGTTACAGAAGTTGCCAACGCATGTCTATTTGAAATGGGGAAATACCAATAATGAATGGCCAGGAATCAAACTTTAGAATTTTATAATGAATTTTTATGAAATGAGAATCTTCAACACTATTTCAGCTAAATTAATTCAAAATCATGTTCTTGCAGTGTGTGTGTCGATCCTTCTTTGTTTGAAATTATATATTTGCTTGCTTTGCAAGGTAACCTTCTGTACTTTGGGATCCAGATGTTTTCTGATGGAAATTTGTGTTTAATATTGTAAGTTAGGTGGATAGGAAATTTGAACGGAGCTGTTATGCCAACGAATAAGGAATGACATCAGCATTGGGGACTGTCCTGAATATGGTTGTATTGGAAAGGGATCTTGCAGCATGGGATAAGGTTTGTCAGTACCTTGACGGCAAAATATTGAAGGACGAGGAAAGGCGTTCTGGAGAATTGGTAGGGAAGTCCTTGAATTTTGGGAGGTTGGTTGCTGCTGTAGTGTCAGGAAGTTTTGGAGGGAAGTACCTTTTGGGACTTGGAGCACTGAGGGCAATATCAGGATTTGATTGGCTGCGAGTTGTTGGATATTTTAACTCCGCGAGTACTGGGGATGAGAGTTGGGATGACAAGATTGTTCTAATGTGTCACCTCTTAAAGCAGTTAGTGACTTCTTTTACACTTGCAAGTATAATTTCTCTCATTTACAACTCATTGGTCGTCCCACCATCAGCAAGTTACTGGTGCACAGTTGGTGTGTCTCCGACTTTGTCTTTAATCAATATTCACCTAAGCAAGAACTTATTGCACAATTGTTGTGTCTGCAACTTACACGGTCTTTAACTAACATTTCTTACAAACATAAATTACCTCAATCCTAAGTTTAACTCGGAGACAGCATTGGAACTCAGCAGAGTGCACTACCGACCATAGAATGCTGCCGATGTGGCAAGAGTGGCCACAGGGAGTCAACATATTGGACTCAAAGCCCAGTGCTGCATGTGTAAGTGAGTGGTCATATTGCTTGAACTTGTCAGTCCAACTTAAGCAAGAGAAGGGGTGTCTAAAAGACACAATTCAGAAGACAAAGCATAATGTACATACTGCCAGCCAGAGAAGACTGGGACGCAGCTAGGTCTGTGGGAGAGCAGAAGCCACAGTGTCAGCAGAGTTTTTTGGTTAAACATGCTGTTGGGATGCAGCAAAGCTGTTCGTTTCTGGGTTCTTCTCAATAGTTTGGTGGGGCGGGAGTGGGTGCAAGTGCTGATTCCTGTATTAATATATAAGGAAAAGTTAAAGAAACTGTCCTTGAGGCCTGCCAAGATTACACGACGGATGTCCACAGACTGGCTGGGGGAAAGGAATTCTCAAAAATGGAGCTGTCGCAAGCCTACTTGCAGATGGGGTTCATGAAGGAGTCCCAGTTGCTGCTGATGACAGTGAAATGCAGTGGACTGTTCCACTTAAAGTGGCCTCCTTTTGGCATCACATCATGATCACTGTTGGGAGTAAGACCTTTGTGATTCTCAGGAGTCTGGCACAACCAGAGAAACCTGCAGAATAGGTAGGCACAGTGACTCAATGGTTAGCCCTGCTGCCTCAGTGCTGGGGACCTGGGTTCAATTCCACCCTCAGTTGACTGTCTGTGTGGAGTTTGCACATTCTCCCCATGTCTGCGTGGGTTTCCTCCAGGTACTCCGGTTTCCTCCCACAGTCCGAAGATGTACAGTTGAGGTGGATTGGTCATGATAAGTTGCCCCATAGTGTCCAGGGATGTGTAGGTTATGTGGATTTGCCTGGGAAATGCAGGATTACAGAGATAGGATAGAGGCATGAGTCTGGGTGGGATGCTGTTTGGAGGGTTGGTGTGGACTTGTTGGGCCAAATGGCCTGTTGCTATGCTGTGGGACTCTGTGGAAAGTTATTGTATTAAAAATCAAATTTTATTAAAAAATC